CAAGATGGCTATTTGTTTTAATACCTGTCTACAAAGGACAGTAAAATAGTAAGGATGGTATCACAGTTTAGTTATGAAACAAACCATATCAGTAATAAGACAAGCAATGTTTCGGTATATTATTCAGGAGGAATTTACACTATAGGCCACAAGCAAATAAACAAGACGCCCTTACTGGGACCATTGGGAGTTACCGTGCTTCTGCTTCCTTCATGATTCCCAGAGGGATTTTCTTTGGTCGCAAGCGGTTGTATGTAATGCTATCCAATATTAAACGACCAAAATTATTATCTAAGAATTAAAACACTGGTTGATGTTGATGTAGATTCCCAAGATGAAAGTAAAAAAGACTTCTCGGTATATTATTCAGGAGGCCAGAAGCACATAAACAAGACCACCTTATTGGGGATCATTGGGAGTTACTCTGCTTCTGCTTCCTGCATGATTCCCAGCTGAATTATCTTTGGCTACAAGTGGTTGTATGTAATGCTCACCAATATTAAAGGGTTTTTTCCATCACAAGGGATAAATATTTCAATGTCATTGAATGTTTAATAATTACCAGATAAAGTTTGATAAATGGTTTGTAAATAGATTTATATTATATTATTGGTGTTTTAGATAAGTAACTCATTAAGGCCGAGAGCCGCATATATGGGGCAAATTAATCAGCGAGTGACGTGTTTATGGGGCAGGTTATTGTCAGTTTTTCACAGCGAGAGCAACATATATTCGTCACCAGAAAGCACCTCTTATTCAGCGAGAGACGCACATGTGTGTCGTACTTTTAAAAATCGCACGGTACCTATTATTTCAACCAATTTACTACTACTGAGTAAATATTAGCTTTTTTACGAGAGATGCTGCCTTTAGTGTCAATCAGAAGTATTTAAAATGTTTTGATACCAATTGCTAATCATTATCATAGGCTTGTACAGCGTTTGGCAAATGAACACATGTCGGCGAGAAAGGGGATTATGATGTTTTTACAGAGGGGAGTGTCTGGTACTCTTCATTGGGAATGGATACTAAAATACTTCGTACGCACATTGATTGAATTAGATGTAATGGTTTAGAGGTTACTGCAGATTGTATTTTCTTCAACTTCCTAAATAAATAGGAAACAATATACGAAATTTCAAGGACATACCAAAGGTTCAAACACAATAGAATAGTTTGATTTTACTTTTTAGGTATTATTACGCTGTCATGTTTCATATAATAAAACATAATGTATAAACACAAATAATTATACATCCAAGCTCGAATAGATTAGACATAATTGAACCTACTATTTTGAAGCTTACTGAATTGTAACTAGTTATTTTCCATAATCTAAAGTTGATAATGTTACCTAAAGTCATAAGCCTTTGCATCGAATCATGTCAGTGATTACAACAATGAACTCTTTTACTACGTTTGTTACAAAACACAGTAAGTTGGTAATTCAAAAATTGTAACACCTAAACGGGAGTAATATCAAAAGTTATTACATGTAACCACACACAGGTATTTCAAGCTGTTGAAAGCTTCATGTTGATTTGAATTGTCAGTTTCAAATCCGGTGTATTTATCACGTGTATCTATGAACTCAGTCTCTATTGATCCATCGTCACTAAAAGCTGGATAGTATATCAGTTACGGTATCGATACACATGCGTATAATCATTCAATCAGATTACAGTAATGAGATAATTGAACACCTCTGTCGACCTTGAAATAACAGCCTCCGGTAGAGTGCATATGTAGTTACGTCCTTGTTGAAAGGTTTGTACCGTGACAAGTGTAAAATAAACAGATGCGCTGTTATCATTGGACAACTTGCTTTATGGAGGCACGCCCCCTCTCTGTAATGTTTATGCATGCATGCACATCTGTAATCATATGAACCTCGTTTGCATTCAGTATAAATATAGGCACGCCCACCTTCATAAATATTGCGACCTGCAACTTTATACACTATAATAATTCAGTATAGTGTCACCTGGTGAATTCTGTAATACGTGTACTTTAGTTTCGATATTCATTCGTATCAAGGTGAAGATTATATTTTCATGTACAACAAACCACTATGTTTTATGTACTAGTTGTGTGCGTAAAATGTATATGGAAATAAATACTATCTCTACTCAATGGTTGGATTTCAATCGCTTTGTTTCACTTATCGAAATACACTAAAATGAGGACAAAAAAAACCTCGCCAAAGTGTCTATCTATTCCTATTTGTCTTATGTGTCTATTTCATAATCGTTACCAGTGTGTATGTTTACAATACACAAACTGTTACATGATAGCTTGAGTTGATAAAGACGAAACCCAGCAAATCGACTGGTCAGCGATATAGCCAATAATCAATCTCTATCCAAGCTGCTGAGTGACAAAACGCGCTCTTCAGAAATTTCGCCCACGCCCCATCACCTGTCCTTTCCTCTGTGACAGGTATCTCATGAGACGATTGGTCACAGATAACATATGACCAGCCACTATATTGAACAGTTGAGATACCGAACGTTCTATTCGGGAAATTTGATGATGCTCCATCACGTGACTCTTTGTTTTATGTCTGTGCAAGGAATATGTAATATACAATTTCTATATGTATGTTCGTATGATCACGTATGTTTTCTGCATTAAATCTAGATGAAACAAAGTGCCAAGCTATGAATGTGGTCTATGTTAGTCACAGACTAGCGTAATAGTACTTTCATTAAAATAATTCGTATATACTAGAAATGTATCGGCAAAAACGCTATTTTCGTCGAAGATTATAAAGTATGTAAGAAAATTCTCCTTTACAGTATGTCATTGTCATAGATGTTTTGTAAAATTAAACTTCATACAATGATATCAGAGAGATAATTGGTTTATGTGCGTCTCATCTCTTACATACAAAGAATACATGCATATTGTGATAAAATATAAATGTACAAGCCCCCAAAGGTCTACAAGAGAAACTTGCAATCAAATTACATAAAACTTTGCAATACACGATGTGTATTTACACCTGCTTTCTTTCAACATATATCTTTACGACACAATTAAACAATCAGGACTTGTTTGTACGACTAGACAGTTTCCTGTCATCCCCGAAACCTGCCAGGGAAATCAGGTGTGATTAGCACTAATTAGTCTCGGCACAGCGAGTGGGCAATCAGCGAGGGCTTCCAGGTGTTGAGTAGTGAGGTGGCTCTCGGGCTTAATGGGTTAGAAACTGAGATTGTTAGTGGTTGTCCCCTTAAAGTAAGTGAGTGAGTGAGTGAGTTTGGTTTTACGCCGCTTTTAGCAATATTCCAGCAATATCACGGCGGGGGACACCAGAAATGGCCTTAACACATTGCACCCATGTGGGGAATCGAACCCAGGTCTTCGGCGTGACGAGCGAACGCCTTAACCACTAGGCTACCCCTCCGCCCCTACCCTTAAAAGGGGTTGAAGTATTGTAAAATTATTGTCCTCCGGTGCGTAAGTCCCAAAACTTACAAAGTAAATATAAACTTACCAGGATTCTTTAAACGTAGTATTTGGGTGATTTTAACTTTTTGCTAAATTTTACTACAACCACCAGGGGCTGAAGGGACGGTGAAAATCCAGCTAGGGTCCATGCAGGTAGAAAATGTATTGTAAGTCCCCATGGTCCCTAGTATAGTGATCTACCTTCAGTTGTTGGCGATCTATTGCCTGTTTTTATATTGTATCGTCCTCTACATTCTCTTCCCACAGAGGTTACTTGTCATATCTTCCTACGAACCTCTGTTTTAATACGGCCATATTTCCCGGTTCTCCCCTAGCGGAAAAAGATCGCAACACGAATTATCTCCCTTTTTTCTATCCAATCAGAACACGCGTTACATCGACATAGATTCAACTGGACTAACACAAGCAAATGTGGGGCCACACATATCCCCCATCTGCCGGGGACTTGTGTTGATTTTACACACAAGACGTTTAATGGCTAGCTTGTCCGTTGTCAACGAGGGCGAAGGAGACGCCACTGATCCGCCAAAACAGCTCTATCTAGAAGAAACGTTTGCGCATCGCGCAGGGGGAAGAAGTTTGCTTTTCTCGAAGCATACGGAAATTACCGAGGCCTTGCGAATGATCACTTTTGAAACAACGTCGCTGATTGCACAACTAAATCTGATTGCCTCCAATCACGAGTCTTGAACGCTCACACCATGAAAGGGCCGTATTAGAACAGAGGTTACGTAGGAAGATATGACAGGAGTAACCTCTGAGGGAAGAGAATGCGTCCTCTATAGTGAAATTGTTTTAGATTTAGTTACTAGTTTTCAAGATATATCTGTGACAGTCTAGTTGTTTTACTGTCCTTCGTTGACAGGTGTTGATATTTATTTTTTAAGCGTTATAAATCTATAACTTGTTTTAGTCACGATATTGCTGAAATATTAACTCACTCACTCCATATTAAAGGACGAAAATTATTTTCTAGGAATTAAAACACTAGTTGATGTTGCTGTAGATTCCGAAGATGGAACTATAAAGTTAGCCAGGAATCAGCCCATGACAAACTAGATACGAAAGCAACAGACAACATAGAAATGTGCTGTAATTGACTATTCTATTCTATAATTAACAAGGCAATACAAAGCAATGTACAGGTATCACTTTGGCATTATAGCAATAGAGACAATGATTGCACTATTCACCGTTACAGTAATATAACTTGGACGAAAGGCCGAGAAGGTGTGTCCCAGTGAAGAAAATGATCACACAGCAATACTGGTTTTCTTGTGGCTTGAGCTGTACGCTAATATTAGATCAGAAGCACTCACTGTCCCCCCATATACACCCTAGAATCCGTCCAGAAACATTAGCTTAATCTGGAAATGCTTACATGGTTGGATCGGGATTTAGTCAATTTCCCACCCGCACAATACCCCACCACTATGTATATTATTGGTTGGGTATTGTCCGGGTGGGGAATTGACTTGGTGGATAAATGACCAGGTGGGGAATTGACTTGCATATTGGATGGGAAAATGGCAGATGGGGAAAAGACCAGGTGGGTTTGGATAACAAGTTGAAATGAAGCATACCACTGTATCTCACCGGTTCGACAGGGACAGGGGTGGCGGGTTGGAAGAAGTTTTACATTACTTTGACCCCACTGAGTGGCACCGACGTCAATGATCTCAGTGAGATATAATATCTTCATACATTCAAAATTCATCAAACAACTCTATTTCTTGTGAAATGCCACAAAAGAAATGAGCTCTAACATTCAAAGAAGGGCAATGGCTGATATTATACACCTATATACACAATCAAGCCATGCATTACAATAACATGTTATACGATTAAAGACAATGGTATGTCTACATTTACTTTGAATGTTTCGGGATTTACATACACTCTACCTATCATAGAATAACTTACATCTATTTACACAATATATGAATCAACAATTTAAAAAACTATTTATTATAAATAATCAGTAATTAAATGAAAATGAACATTAGTGAAAAGATCCTTGACTGTTGAAATATTTATCCTTTATAACGGAAAAATCCACACAGTCAGGCAGGACATACTTAACCGTGATTGTGTCATTGTCACATACCAAAGTAACCACAATAGAAGATATAATTAAACCCCAATAACTCTACAGATATCTTTCTAACTTCTGCATTGCCCATAAAATGGCTAAACACTCTTTTTCTATTGTAGAATGCGCTCTCTCAAGATCTACCAACTTCCGACTCACAAACAATATTGGAAATCGCTCACCCTCCTGTTCTTGTAGCAGTCCAGCTCCGATTCCAACATCAGAAGCATCTGTCCTTACCAAGAATTGCTTCTCCAAGTCGGGCAGTTTCAAGATAGGAAAACCTGACATGTGTGTTTCAACGTCCTGACAGCTAAATTCCTGACTTTCTGTCCATATTAAATTGCTTTGCTTTCCTTTCTTTGTAAGGGCAGTTAGAGGAACTATGGCTGCATAGTTTAGGATAAATATACCCGGCCAGTCCTAGCAAAGCTCTTACTTGTTTCTTGGTTTGAGGTCGCCGAACATTTACGATTTTTGTCCACGTTCTTACCTTCTGGTTGAATTTGAGCACTATCCACCTTGGGCTAAACACATCCAGATGTTTGTATCCCACTTTTACCTTTAAAGGTCGAACTGTAAGGTTGAATTGTCTTAACCTTGTAAATATGGCTCTCAGACTCACCATATGGAGTGACCAATCCTCTGTTCCATCTATGATGTCGTCTATGAAGTTGTCCGTATTAGGTATGCTGTGTAATACTTGCCTCATCAGTCGGGAAAATACTGCTGGTGCGTTGACTTCACCGAATGGCATCACTTTCAATTGGTATAATCCAACCGGGGTTATAAACGCCGTCAGTTCTTTGCTACTCTCTTCCATTGGAATCTGCCAATATGCCCTGCTTACATCAATTTTGGTAAGATACTTACAGTTTCGCAATCTTGCAAAGATAGAAACAGCTAATGGAATTGCTTCGGCATCAAAGAGTGTCACCTGATTCAATTTGCGAAAATCTGTAAGTCGAGTCAGGCGATGGTTTCCCTCGCGGAGTAGTAGGTGCCAGTCTAGTCCCCTTACTAGGCAGCGGAGACCCTTTGTCTCCTTACGGGCAGAGATATTTCACCTCTCCTTACTCTGAGGATAACCGGCAAGTTCGGGGACACCACAATACAAAACAGGTAACTACAGTTACTCATAAAGGCATGTGTCATTACCTTATACTTCACACATTACTCCGATTTACATTTTTGAAAGTGGAACTGTTTACGTGGAACGGTAATTTCATCTTTATTACGTGGCTATATAAGGTTACATTATATGCATACATATATCTAGAAATAATCCATCAATTAAAAGGTCTCTTGCTACATGTACTAAATCTGTACAAAAGTAATAATAATAATAATAAAAACATACGCCAGCCAGCGTGAGATGTAACACAATATGAATACTTAAACCCATGCAGATTAACACCATGGTGATTCTGGCAGACTGTACAAATTACTACCCTCTCCCACTTTATACTAACCTCACATACTCAAGCCACTCTACACCTCCCTGTTGTTTATCAATGAACTCCCCAGCTCTCTAGACATACCTGGTCACGCTTCCCCGAATACAACCCTGTTCCCATGGTATTACCGGATATAATCTAACACCAAACCCTCCAAGTGTAATAACCCACTTAAACAAAACCATATTACATCTATTTTAAGTACCACAAGCTGATAAATATAGACACAATCATCTGTGATCTTGACAGTCATCACCAAGGATACAAAATAGAGGATAAATATTTATGCATATTTATATGTGTATCTATAGTGGCTAATTATTCGACATAGTTATACGATGACCTCTTAAAATCTGGACTGATTGGCCAAGTAGGTGTAACAGATAGTTGCTTTCATTGCTTGTTATTTAATAATACCTACTTGTGTGTCCCACTTTTGTTGCATTAAATCACGGATATGATTTTTAATAACAGGTCTATAGTCACTACACGGTATCAGAAATGGTGTTACAGACTTATTGGGTGCTGCCTCAGCAGCATAGTCAGCCTTTGTGTTACCAGTGATTCTAACATGGCTGGGCTATCAACAAAAGAAAATGTCATATTGGCCAGTAGCAAGATCTGTACATATACTCTCCCCATGAAGTTGTATTATCACGAGTTTCATCTGCTAACTTTAGAGTGACATGCACATGCAATTCTGGACCAGTTGCAGACGCATTTCAAAGTATAAAGGATAATATGTTTGTAAGCATGTATAGTTTATAAAAGTTCAATATGTGGAGGCGTCCGTTCCCAGCGTTTGGTCTTTGTGAGGAACAGAATATAATAATTTTAATTTAAATGACGTAGTCGTAATCAATTTAGAACGGATCAAGCCTCTGATGAGGTTTTTCTGATTGCCAACCCACTTTGAGTTTGAGACAAACTTTAATATAGCCACCACTCACAGGCATTTATATGTTAGATGCCATGGTTTAAGCCCTTTGTTAGATGAGGCCCAAAGGTCAAGTGCTGATAGAAAATATGTTCAAGGACTTTATGTTCCTTTACAACTTAAATAGTGCTGCCATTTAATACGAATACGTGGTAATGTATTATAGATCATGCGTATCATGGTTTTACAAACGCAGCTTTCTAAGAAATTGATCTATAATTTGAGGGATCGGTATGATTATGTCCAGGTTTTAGAATGGGTACAAGAATGGATCCAATATTTCAATGTTTTTCCTTTTCTTTATTACACTCAGTGAGTTACATACCTTCAAAATAAGATACAGTATAAATCAGAACAGAAACAACTCTAGCTGATGAATCGGCACTCATATCAAGATAAACATTAACACTGGTAGTAACCGCTGATCGGTTAAAACAACTGATCTAAACATATACGAATGGCAATAGAGGAGGACGAGGGGATAAAAAGGTCAAATGCTTGTCAAAAACCAGTCCCCAAAACTTGACTTCCTTTACAACGTTAACTGGAGAGCCATCCAAGTACAGATCGGGATCTTTATGAGGCTTATATTTCCGACAGAAATGTATACATTTGGTCTTTATCTGTGAAACTTTAAAGCCATTCTCAAGTGACCATTTATGAATATTATTTAAGCACATCTGTAATTGTCTCTCGATGGTATGCATATTTTTACCACGACATGAAACGTTAAAATCATCCACAAACAATGACCCATTTATTGAGTCATTTAATACTTTTGAGAGAATATTGATCTTTATGCTAAACAAAGTAACGGACAAAATACCGCCTTGTGGATCCCCCTGATCCTGATTATAATGGTCAGACAGGGTTGATCCAACACGAACTTGAAATTGTCTGTCAGCTAAAAACTGTTATATAAAATGAGGCAAACGGCCTCTCACACCAAAGTCATGTAAATCTCTTGCAATGTCAATTTTATCAGTTAACAGATCGTGGCCATCTTTCAGATGATGAACACTAGAATTTCTACCTTTGCCCTTGATTCTCTGTATCATGTTCCATACCTTCGTCATTGGTGTACGAGAATTAATCTTTGATACAAAGTTCTTCCAAGACTGACGTTTACTTTGTTTAAATGTACGTCGAGCCTTGGCTTTATTCATTTTTAAATTATTGAAATTGTGGACTGTAGGATGGCGGCGAAAGTATTTCTCTGCCTTCTTCCTACACTTTTCTAGCTTGTTTACAATCGTCAGTAAACCATGGTTTACGAATGTGTGGATTATCAGAAGCCTTAGGAATAGTTTCATCGGCAATATTATTCAGTTTGTCAGAGAACAGCTGAATCAAATCTGGAGCATTGACAAACAATTCTGCTTTCAAGTTGTCAGCACATAGTGTCTGAAATAATGGCCAGTTGGCCTTATTAAAATTCCACCTTGTTGCAGATGGGTCATCAGTCGGGATTATAGCTGAAAGTATTGTGGAAAATGGTCACTTCCACAGAGGTCATCATGAACTGACCATTCGAATTCGTTATAAATACTTGGATCTGTGAGCGACAGATCGAGTGCAGAATAAGTTCCCGAACCAGGGTGTAAATATGTGACAGATCCATCATTAAATATGCATAAATTATTGTTTGAAATGAAGTCCTCAAGAATTTTTCCTTTAGTGTTGGTATCGGTACTTCCCCACAAAGGGTTATGTCCGTTAAGATCACCCATGATTATAAATGGTTGAGGAAGCTGTTCAAAAGATCCTGGAGGTCAGACTGCTGAAGAGTTGAAGACGGAGAAGACAAAGTGTAAAGGTTGTCTGTAAAGTAAGACGGACATCAACAGCTTGAAGACTGCTCTTAAGAGTAACCGGGCTATGGATAACACCCTGCCTCACTAGAATAGAAGCGCCGCCAGTTGCTTTATCACCTGGAGGAGAGAATGAATGAAAGGAATTGTATTGACGCAATTCAAATTTATCAGTACTTTTCAGGTATGTCTCTTGTAAACTAAAAGCCGATGGTTTAATATCTTGCGATAGTAATTGTAGATCATTAAAAT